TGGTTTTGTGTGCAGTGTTAAAAAATGAGTAATAGTTTGATTTTACTCATTATTTCAAATACGCCATTGTGACAGAAAGTTAGTTTCATACCTCAGGCTGAGACCAGAATTGGTCAAACGAAGGGTAGCGAGTGCGTGGCTGCGTGCGCGGCGCGGGCGGCTCATCCCCTGTGTGCGCAGCCCAGTCAGCTCATGGCCCACGGTTAGATACTTCTGCTTCAGTAGCAACTAAAAGCTTTGATGAAGTCTTTTGCAATATTAACCTAGGCATCACTTCTGTAAACAGGGCTCTTATGCTGGCTGGCTCACAGCCAAAAAAAAAAGGCCGGGAGCAGAGGGGGCCCGTGGGAAGGGGCTCTGAGATGCAAATCACGGTGGTGGTGCTCAGCACACTTTAATCCTTTGTCCACTTTAGCTGGGCACAGATAATGCAACTAATTCAAGTGCTTGTCTCTCTGGTGTGAATTAGCTGGATGACAGCCTAAAACCTCTCCCCGGCAACAGCAAACCTGCAAAAAAAGGCAGAAGCACAGCTCCTCTCTGTTCCCAGCTGCCCTGTCCAACTCGAGTTTGTCCAGCAGAAGATTTCTGGCTCCCCTCACATCTCCCTGTGTGCCTGCTCACTGGGGAGGACTCTCTAGTGGGGCTGCAGACCCCATGGCCTTCGTCCACCTTCTGCCCCTGGCTGCAGGACACCTTTTACCCTGGGCAGCCTGACCTGCACAGTCGCTGCAAGGACCCTGCAGATGTGCTGCCAAGTGCCGCATGGCCTCCTCACTGCCTCCTCGCTGCCTTCTGCCTGCATAAAGGTAGAGGAACGAGTTTGTTCCAGTGCTGGCTACACCGAACAACAGCAGTGGCGCAAAACCTTGGTTTAACCCTTCCCAGGGTAACCAGATAGGATGGACGGTGCAAACGTGGAGGGCTAGTGCGTGCTTTCGTGCTCCTATGGGCTCGATGTTCTCAGGCAACCTGCTCCTGGTGCTGAGCAGTGAACATGAAAGGCCAGGGACATCTGTGAAACACAGGCAGATTTTCACACACACGTGATCGTCTCGTGCTAATAGTGTTGGGAATAGGATTGAAGTTCACAGCAATAGCCACGCCTGGGTGCCTACTGCAAAGAGTGTGCTTTTGTTGGGAGCAGATGAACCAGTGTAAAGGCGCTTCCCTCTACCAGCCTGTGCAATGCTTGTGGATGGACAGGTGCCCTGGATGGGACAAGGGAGAGCAACTGCCGGTTTCAGTCTTTCTTTCTGGCCACTCTCTGCCAGTCACTGTCTGCCCTGGTGAGCTCATTCTCTCTTGTTCAGGTCTGAATGTTGTTTCTTCTTCTTCCAGTGACCCCCAAGACACTAGTATTCAAGCCTTCTTGGATTTCCCTAGCTGTGATGGAGCAGCCCTAGTAGTTGTTGTTTATGGCAGCAGACCAGGAGTGCTCACACAGCGAGTCTCCCTGCTTTTCTGTGCCTCAGTTTCCCTCAGCTGTGATGGGGAACAAGCAGCTGCTGGGATGAGGGCACCCGGCACGGTTGCTGGCTGCTGCCTGCAAGGGCAGGCAGCCCTTTATGCTGAGAAACACGAAGACATTTATGTAGCTCACCTCCTAGGAAAAGGTTTAAATTTAGTCTGCAAATGATGATGGTATCTATATATCGTCCTCAGTAAGAGCTTGTGGCTGGTGGGTACCTCCGTGGGGAGAAGAGCAGCCCACTTCTCCTCTACAGCCGCTCAGGAGGGAGACCCAGCAGCAGGGTCCAGTGGGGAAGTCAGGAGTGTGGCTGATGGGGGAGGCAGAACCGCTGCCCCCAGCGATGGGGCTTGGCGGGGTCTTCAGGGACCGGATAATGCCTGTGGCTTGGAAGCAGGGATGGAAATGGAGAAAGTTTCTTGTTCATGGTATGTTAGGTCTCTGCATCCTGCTGTGTAGCTTGCAGCAGCATCCTCCTGCCACCCCAGCTCAGCCCCGGTGTGTGCTGGACACAGAGTTTATGAATGTGTGAAACAGGCTGCATGCACAGAGCGAGATGTTTACTGTAAACTGAGCAGGGTGGTAAACTGTTTTTTGGGGTCACTCACTGTCTGTTGGGGGTAGCAAAGCCAAGCACTTTTCTGGGTAAATACCTTTATAAGTGACTTTTTAAGTACTTTTTCGTCCTGAGATCTTGGCTTGCTTTGCCATCCTCTCCCAGGTAGGTTGTATTGTATCCCAGCTGACTTTTCCAAGGTCACCCAGTAAGTTGACAGCAGAGAATCCAGATCTAGCTCTGATTAAAGCGTTGGCCCAAGTGGTGCAGCCTGGCCCAATGCTACGGGCTTGTGTCTGTGGGATGTCACTTGTCAGCAAGTCACTCACCACCCTTAAGGGACAGGTGGATGCCTGGGGCACAGTGGAGGTGGCTGCAAGTCCCCGGCTCTGTCCATGTCCTTACCAGCACGTTATGGCTCTGTAAGCCAGTCTCAAGCTCAGCAACCTCAGCAGCAGTTTTGTGACAGACCATGTGCCTGGAAACCAAAGTGCAAATGCCTCAGAGCTTGCAAATCGCTTTTGAGAAAGACTAGTTGAATTTGTTCCAGAGATCCAGATTAGCAAATCATCTGACAGATTGAATCTCACAGAGGAAGTGGAGGGGGGGGTTGTTTGGTTTTGGGTTTTTTTAAAAGCAAGGGAAACCAAGTGACATTTCAGCTGTGGGATTGCAGAGCAGTTCAGGGCAGGGAGCTATTCCTGCCCCAGGTTCAGTCCCAAATTAAACTCTTGCTCTGATCCTTCCCTTGAACCCAGACAGACCCAGCAGAAACCAAGCTCTCAGAGTACCTGAAAACAGATTCCTGGCCTGAGACTGAGGCAGGGACGGGATCTGAACAGCCCTGGCAAAACCCCTACGGACCAGCTCTGCTGGTGCTGAGACAATGGGACTGTGCCAAGGATGGGGGAAGTGCTGGTTTATGATGAGTTTCCCAAGCAGTTCCCATAGCATCACTCCCACATCCTCCCCCTGCAAAGGACATCAGGGTCCTGCCTGCACTAATAATTCTTAATTAGCCTGACCAGCCTCATCTGGGGCCTTCTCCCGCACCCCCTCCACCCCATGTGTTCCCCAGCTGCATTTAAGCCCAGCTCCTTGCCTATATCAGTCTTTGATCTGTCTCACTGCTGTTTTCTGCTCTCCTGGGTTGACTTTGGATCTGCCTGGCTGGTTTGTGCTCATTAATCACCAATAAAGTGGGTGTAACACCAGGTGAGAAGTCCCACTTTTGGGACCAGGTTTGACCATTAGCCAGTACCATGGATAACCCTGCTTGGTGTGGAGATGGGAAGTAGGGGTTGAGGAGGCAGCTAGCACCAGAGCGTGCACTGACAACTCTCATCAGCTCGCAGGAATCCAGCAAGATGTGGCTTGTTCCTGCTCTTTATCCTGGTCGCAAATCTCCAGCTGGTAGGTGATTGCAGATGGTTTGCGTGCAAGCTGGCCCTTGCCCTCCTGATTGCTGCCGTCCCCCCCGGTTGCTGCCTGTGGCTTTCCCAGAGCCTGTGCTTTGAGCAGTAGGTGGGCAGGTTGGTGCCAAGAAGGGCAGCTCTCCCTGAGGCAACGGGTATGGCTCTGGAGATTAGTCTGAGAAAGATGTGCTTGCATAAATTCATGCTGGAAGTGGCTTTGGAAGTGGCTCTGGCTCCTGCTGTGTGACACCCTGACCTGCCACGTTGCCTTGTGCTGTGGGTTTGTGCTGCCCTAGGAGTGGGGCAGAGATGGGGACCGATGCTGGCACAGGGCTACCGAAACGGATGGAGGTCTTTGCTAGGAACCTGGCTGAGGTTATTGAAGATAATCGGGAAGCTGCTGGTGTTTTTCTTCCATCAATTTCCTGCATTTGTGAAGGTGAGGAGGGTGGTTTGTTCCCTGAAAAGTGGGGCTTTTGAAGAAATGCGAGTTACTTTATCATTAGCTGCATGAAAACTCTAACCAGTAGATGAGGACGAGGCACAGGGAGGGGGCAATGGGCTGTGTTGCAGCTGT